AGTTTGGTGGTGAGCTGGCTCGATCAATTTTGTGGTGGTCGCTGGTCTTGGTGCGCTTGTGGTGCCGGTCCAGGTCTTGAATGCTGGTGCCATGGTGCTGGTCCTGGATGAGTTCTGCTGGCACGGTCGATTTGGCGTAGTGCATGATGCCTCGGTCAATTTGGTGGTGAGCTGGCTCGGTCGGTTTGGTGGTGCTGGTCTTGGTGAGTCTGTCGGCGCGGTCACGATCGCTGGTCCTGGTGCACTAGTCCTGATCTTGGTGCTTATACTTGGTGCCTGGTCCTGGTGAGTTCTCCGGCACGGTCGGATTGGTGGTGCGTGGTGCCTCGGGGTTGGTGGTGATTGGCACGGTCGATTTGGTGGTGCATGGTGCCTCGGTCGCTTGGTGGTGGCCGGCTCGATCGGTTTTTGCTGGTGCATGGTGCCACCGGTCAGTGTTGGTGGTGACCTGGCTCGGTCGGTTTTGGCTGGTGCATGATGCCACGGTCGCTTTGGTGGTCTTGGTCTTGGTGCTGTGGTCTGGTCCGGTGCTGATCCTGGTGCTACTGGTGCCGATCCCGGTGCTAATGCTCTGGTCCTGGTCGTGGTCCTGTTGGGTGGCACGATCGATTTGGCTGGTGCATGGTGCCTCGATCGATTTCTTCGGTGCATGGTGCCACGATCGATTTTGGTGGTGCCTGGTCTTGATGCTGCTGTGGTGTTGGTTCGGTGCTTGGTCCTGGTGTGCTTGGTGCCGGATCCTGGTACCTGATGCCTTGGTCAGTGAGTCGGTAGTCGAGTTGGCTGGCACGGTCGATTTAGGCTGGTGCATGGTGCCTCGGTCGGTTTGGTGGTTGATTGACTCGGTCGAGTTAGGTCAGGTGCATGGTGCCTTGGTCGATTTGGTGGTGGACTGGCTCGATCGATTTGGCTGGTGCATGATGCCACGGTCGGTTTTGGTGGTGCCTGGTCCTGGTGCGGCTGTGGTCCTGGTCCGGTGCTGATCCTGGTGCGTTGGTGCCGATCCTGGTGCTAATGCTTGGTCTTGGTCGTGGTCTCGTTGGTAGCGCATGGTCGATTTGGTGTCATGGGTCAAATTTTATTTTCCCGTGCCAATTTCATATTGTTTGCACCAATAAACTTAAATTAGACCCCTCAATATCTCTGGGAAAGTGTTGGGGCATAAGACATCCATATTCAAGCCTTTTTTCAAACTTCAGGTGTTGCCAGCTTCATATGAAAAATCATAGAAATTCAATGCTTTGTCCGATTGAAATGAAATTTGGAGGGTAGCTTGGAAATATTAATAGGGGAATGCATGCAAAAAATCGCATCAAAATACGATCTCTAGATACCATTTTCCATTTTTCCCGATTTTTCGCATTTCGGCACTTTGAAAAATAAAAAAATATACTTCCCATTTGATTTAAATTCCCAGATTTGGGGAACAGGGTTATGTTATTTTTATAAGGAATACTGCAAAAAATCGCATCAAAATTCGATCTCTAGGTCCATTTTTCGGACTTATGTCTACTCACAAAAAGTGTATCTACTTGTACAATTTTCAAAATGGCATATTAGCCTATTATAGGGGGGGGTGTGCACCTCAACTTTGCCACCCACACTGGCAAGTCTGGTGCTGCCACGGGACTCTCCCCCCCATGTCCCACGGTTGCCTTGACCCTTCCAATACATGTTCCGAGTGGCTGGTCATGGGTGATTCCATGCTAGTGGCTACATGT